AGAGCGAGCACCTCTCATCAATTCCTTGTGCTCGCGTCTCCGCCTTCACGTCCCCTCTCCAGCCGACCCCACCCCACCTTGACTCGCGTCACGCCGAGCTCCAATTTTGGAGCTTTGCCCGCCGCCGTGCCGATAAGGCCTGCCACCTCCCGCGTAGTGGCCAGTATCCACCACTTTATCCCGTGCCAATTCCTCTGCACCACTAGCTTGACTTGGTTCCCTCTTCGTCGTGCGCACGCTAGTCGTAGCTCTAGTGACACCTCCTCGCCATTGACACGGCCGTGCCTTTATGGTCCGCCGTTCACCTCACAGCGCACACATGGCCAGCCTCGCTCGGGTCATCTCCGGCCGAGCCGGCTTCTCAGTAAGGTCACTGGTGAGTTGTCGTTGCTCACCCGCTACCCCTACTGCCTTGTTGTTGCTGTGGCTCGCCTGAACGCCATCGCCATTGCAGCTGGTGCCCGTCGTCGTGGAGAGGTCCTTTTACAGCGTCTCAGCTCGTGCAACCGCCACCCATCGTCTCACGTCGAACCCTAGGTGAGCGTCGGCCTCGTAGATAGGTCACCGTGGGTCCTATGTGGCCAGCATAAGCGCCAGTGCCACCGCTCGTCGCCCCGGAGCGCGCGGAGATGGTCGAGGGCCTTGCTGTTGTAAAGAGGAGAAGATCCGAGGGTTCCGTTGCAAAGTCGTTGTCTATAGAAATAGTACATGTAGTGTTCGTGCTATTTTTTGATTACGCGAGGGTATTTTTGCAAGAGTGCCAGCGTGCGCGGGCTTCCTCGCTGCGGGCCACCTCCGCGCGTGGGCCGCGCCTCGCTTGTGGGCCGTCGTGCGCTCACGCGCGCGCACGTTGCGCCGCGTGGGCCGCGTTGGGCCAAAATCAATTTAGCTTTTTCGTGGAGAATAGAAATAGCTTTTTATTTGTATTTCTGAGCTAAACTTTGGTAAATCATATAAAATCATGTAGATATCTAAAAATTATGAAACCAGTTTTGTTGAGTTTCTAAAATTGTGCTCTATCTGTTAGTGTATTTAGTTCATATATGTGCTTGTTGATACCAGTAGCTATTAAATCATTTGAGATTGCTTAATATGATTAGGTTAAACATTGTAGGAATTTTTGTGGTAGATTGGTGATAGTAAAAACCCTAAAATTTTTACAGTAAGTTCATTGTATTATTATGTGCTCACTGTAATTTTTGTAGCTTTAGAATAGACTTAACATAAGGGTAGTTAAATGCTCTTTGTTTCAAATATATATTAAATCATTAGTAGAAATAGAGATATATCATTCATTTGTAAAGCTAGGTGTTTGTTAGTTGAACCCAACACTTTACTTGATGAAGATGATAGTTAGCTTAGTATTTTAGTTAATAGGGCTAGTTTAGTAGTTTATCATGTGTATTCTTATTTTAAGAGTTGTTGTTGCCGAAATGCTAAGTGTTACATAATCATCGCATGCATATAGAGAACGAGTTGGTGGAGATCGTGACCATCGGAGATCATGAGTTCGAGGAGGTGATCGAGGAGTACGAGGAGGAGATCCTCATACAGGAGGAGGTCCCAGAGCCGTCACTAACTTGACTGAGTTGACACCCCGCCTGCCCAAGGCAAGCCCGGTGCATAACCCTTATTTTGAATGATCACTGAATATATATATGTGATATGCATTTATGTTACAGGATTTATATTGAAACTACATGCATATATATACCTACCTATGAGTCCTACTAATTTAGGTCGAGTAGCTGTTATGCTTAGATTTTTCGGTAGCGTAACTTGTCGTTACTCACAATAGGTGACTATTATTATCACTCTCGTGATAAAATGGTGAAAGGAAATAGAGACCGGGCTGGGATATGGTACAGGTATTGGTGGGTGTAAGGGGTTGTGTCCCGCGGCCAACGGGGCATAGCTTGGTTACATTGTTTTCCCTGTCCGTGTTGGTTAAGGACCGGCCGTTGCATTGGATTCTAGTCAGGTCACAGACTTATTATCCTGAGCACATACTTGTTTATGTGAGCAGGGAAGGCTCGTTGGTCTCTTGTCATGAGTTTTGGCTCTTTCTGGTCTGACTGATTGGAGGCGAAGATGGTGGAGGTCTAAGCACCACACTGAGTCTGGGACTCAGGTGTGGGGGCTTGGAGTCCAAGTTTGGACGGGGACCTAAACCCCTCGACAGGAGAGTGATGGGTTTGGTCTGCTTGTGCCTGGGGTACAAGCGGGGCATGTGTTTCGGGGTACCCAGCTGGGCTACATTGGTTCGTGAATCGCCGTGTAATATGGTACGACTTGTCTACGATCTAGCACCGTAGTAAGAACTAGAAGATGAAAGGTGGTGAAATGGATCTGATTGCTCAACTCTTGCTTGAAAGTAGAACATGTGCTTACATAGAATGGCTAGCTAATGAACTAATCATGACTGCTAATAAAACACATACATGAGGATTCACTACTAGTATTGCTTTTTGCAAAAAAGGAAACCCAGCAAATCATAAAGCTTATCACATCCTTTGGAGTCAGAAAATTATTCTCACTAGTTGGGTAAGTCTTGTGAGTAAATTGTGTACTCAGGGTTTATTTACCCCTGTTGTAGGTGCAGCTTGAGGAGTAGTTGTTGTGTGGAGGATTCTTCCGATAGGCACAGATGGATCCTTGTATCTTATCGTTAGATGTTATTGTAATTCCGTTGTTTAAATTTTGCACTCTGAACTTAGTATTGTAATAATGTATTTATGAGAACTCTTGATGTATGAAATGGACTAAGTATTGTAAACTCGTTCTCATTATTGGATCCTGGAGGAAAAACGTGGATTGTTCGAGTTCTCCCTTGAGGTGTGCTCAACAGAACCGTCCGATGTAGCTTGCTTTTCGGGGTGCTTAGTGTCTAGTGAAAGACAAGCACCTCCGAAGGTGTGTTATTTTGAACGGTTCTGCCACAATTGGGAGGGAGCTGGTGGGCCTCTAGTGGCGGCCGAGAGGGACTAAGGGAAGACTGAGCAGTGGAGTAAAGTTGATTAGGGTTTGGAGAGGTTGTATATATATACCAAGGTCTATTGGGCTGGGCTTTTCTTTCTGATTACTGGGCCTCATCGGTTACTTCGGTTCTTTCGGTTAACCGAGCTCAAGAACCGAATTAACCTGACTTATTTCGGTTACTTAAAACTGGGAACCGAAATATTCGGTTTCGGATAGTTCGGTTTCAGTTCTGGTTATTTTGGTTCGATTTCCGGTTCTCAGTTATTTTTGCCCAGGCTTACACGTGGTGGTCGAACCGGCCAGCGTTGAATCCATCGCCGGTGACGAGTTGTCGGGGTGCATCGAGTGGAGCTCCCGTGCGTACGACCACGGGTAGAGGCGGGGTGGAGCTCACTCACCACACTAGCTACGGAAGGCAGCCACAGCTCACCACGCGAGAAGCTAAGAAACCGGCTCAGCAACGGCGAACAGCGGTGTGGATGCCTTGGCTATCCAGACGGTGGGCAGTGGTGGAAAAGTGAGATGAGAGAAAAAGGTAGTAGAGAAATAATAAAGTAAGCGTACGGAGGCATCAGGGCTTGTTTGTGCTGGTGGGTCCGCTGAGTTAGATATTAGAAGAATTATAGATTTTGTTAAATAAGTCTTGGAGCCGCGGGTCACTCGAGTGATCACGCAGACCAGCTGCACATCTTGTTAACGATATATTTGCTCATAATTTAAAAGATGCTATCTTTTCCATCGCTTAATTAATCGAAATAAATAACGAAAGTATATAGCTACAAAATTGGAGAAAGATAAAAGTTCCTGAAAAACAAGAGCAAAATCGTGGGGAAACGGTGGTCAAAGCAACCAATAGAGCACTCTAGATCCAATTAGGGGGCAGAGACGCCCAAGTTATTGCGTTGCCGCCGACGTCCGTCCTGCATTGTTGCCTGCCTGCTTTCGTCGCGTCGGCATTTCTTTGCTTAGGGTGGAGCCTTTGATGCGGTAAAGTGTAAAATTCCTCCTCCCCTCGCCGCCGGTTCCGACCCAGCCATGGGGACGGCGGCGCCGGCGATGATGCCGATGGAGGACCTTGAGGCGGCCATCGCCGAGCTCCCTGCCAAGAAGGACGTGTTAGTATTGATCTCCCACCAGTTAGGCCCAACGGCCTAGGTTTTGTCTCGGCATACGATCGGGGCGCCCAACCCTACATGGTTGGTGGGCCCCGTCGACAACGCTTATAAAGGAAGGTGGGGGCGGGGCTCGTAATACGAGGTTCACCGCGCCGCGGCCACCCCAACCGACATCCTAAACCCTAGACCCGATCGAAAGTAGGCGCGCCGCCAATGACGGAAGTGCCATCGACACCAAGCAACGCCACCCGACGCTCACATCGCCGCCGAGGACGCCACAGTCGCCGACTCACTCTCCACCGACCAATTCGGCATTGCCGTGCAGGCAGATGGCATCCAACAATGTAAACCCGGCCGGAGCTTCAACAACTACTGGCATTTGACGGTTTGCTACTTATCACCTATCTCTCAATCTCTCTCTCGTGAAATCCGATTGATCTATTATGTGCTAAGAAAACCGATCCGATGAACATACCTAAGAACCCTAAACCTAACAATGGCATCGGAGCCAGGTTTCGACAAGAAATCAAACCAATACGATGCGGATCGGGAAAGAAAACAGAAAAACCGAACTAAGACCTAACCCTAGAAAGAATCCCATCACCAATCGGTTCAATCCGAGAAGAAAGAAAAGGAACCCTACCATCTAGATCTCGAATCACACAAAGGTAAACACGGATCGGGGAAATCGGGTTCAACCGAACCCTAACCCTAGATCCCCTTTTCGGGTGAACGAGTGAGAAGAAAAGAAAGAAGAAAGAAATCAAATCCGAAAGGGGAAAGGGGAAAAGAACAAAAGGCGCGATGCTGAAACCCTAACCCTAATCCCATTCGGATGAACAAGCCAAAAGAAACACAGTAAAAAACCCCATTCCCAAACCCTAACCCTAATTCCCGTGCGTCGGAATGGGGAAGAAAGCGACGGGGAAGAACGAGAAAAGAAAGAACACGCCGTTCGTCGGGGATAAACCTCCACCGGCGCGGAAGAAGAAGAAGAAGCGCACCGGCTCTTCCGCCGGCGCCGAAGAAGAAGCCGAGCCGGGGCGCGAACTCATGGGGCTCGGCCAATAGAAGGCCATGCAAAGTTGCTCGGCAATGGCGTGCTCACCGTTAGAGACGCACGGCACGGCGAGGGGGCGGCGACGGCAAAAGGATCGCCGCTGCTGCTTTCCTCGCTTCCTGTCTTCGCAGGTAGTGTGGTATCCTCATTCTTCGCGATCGAGAAAGAGAGAGAGAGAGCAAGAGCCGAAATGGCTAGGGTTCCAGGGCGCCGGCCGCGGCCTGGGTTTTGATCCTCGCGAAACGGCCGCTCGTCCGTCGGATCAGATCGAACGCCCGAGATGCGCTGGGCCAAGTCGAGGCCCAGTGCACTGAAGCCTTGGTTTTTGCCGAGCCCCTGAGTTATGGCCTGGTGCACTCAAGGAAGCGCAAATCTTGGGGCGAGCTTGTTCAGTAAGGTTTTACAACGTAACAATGAAAATGAAAAGAAGAACAAGAAAATTTTCCTTATTATTTTCCAGAAACAATTTTAAATGCATATTTTGATGAATTTGAATGATTTTGACATAATTTTCTGTGCAAATTTTATCCAACGATATTTTGCTCAGAAAACAGTGAATTTTAGTGTTTCTGGAAAATAATAATATGAAAACATTATTATTAATGTTTCATTGTGCATGAAAATTATTGTTCTCTTTGATTAAATTTGAACCAACGGGATAATTTAATTTTAAGAGAAATGAATTTCGATAATTTTAATGCGATTATGATATTGTTATTTTTCGACCAACGTTGTTAATAATAATATTATAATTTTGATCCATAAGAAATTGTGCATTAATTTTACTTACGCCCAACGGTGATGTAAAATGTTTGCATGGATGAATAATAAGTTTTAATTTGACCAACGTTGAGTTAAAGCATGGAATTTTATGTATAAATGTTTCTTACTTACTTTGGTGTGATTTGAGGCAAATGCATTGTGAATATTGCCAACATCCCGACACTCAACGGAACCAATCACCGTGTGTGGCGGGAGAAGTATGAATTGGAACTTGCGTTGGGAGAGGTCGATTTTGCCATCACCTCACCGTGTCCCTCTTGAGCCAGAGGACCCGTGAGAGGTGACAATGAAATCGACGATTGATTTTTGCTTTCGAAAAAGCGTGATCATCTTTGAAATAAGAATGAAATATGACCTTGAACATAGGCAATGGACTCTCTCCAACCGTTAAGTGCTCAATTGGTAGCCAAAGCCACCATAGAAAGAAAGCAGATAAGGGCTCAATCCTCAATGTACTCTTGCCAAAGAATATCTTGAGAAAATCAAGAGTCGGTTCATTGGGTCTACCAAGGCCCAAACAAGTTCATCGATTAAGAAGCTTGTGAATGAGAAATTCTTTGGTGGTAGCATAAGAGAGCACATTTTGAAGATGAACACTACGGCATCCAAGCTAAAAAGAAATGAATTTGAAGGAGGAGGATTTCTGATTCATTTGATTTTTGCTTCTTTGCCAAAAGAATATGACACCTTCATTGTGAACTATAATATGCAGCCTGAAAGATGGGGCATAGAAAGACTCATCTCAATGTGTGCTCAAGAAGAGGAGAGGATAAAGTCCTCACAAGGTGAATATGCTCATTTTGTGAAGGACAACAAAAGAAAGAACTTTAATGGCAAGAATTCTAAACCACAAGGGAAACCTAAGTGGGATAAGACCTCTTCCTCCAGTTCACGAGGAAAGAAACCCCGAGGATTACGAGAATCAAAGAGTATGGTGGAGCAGAAAAAGATCGGTGCAACCGCTCAAGAAGGACACTACAAGAGGGATTGTCCAGACTTCACGAAAAATCTCTGCTAAAGAAAGGTGATGAATTTATTACATTTGTAGATGATCTCTGTATTTATGTTATGATAAATCCACTTGGTGGGTTGATTCAGGAGCAACTACTCATGTTGCAAATTCTTTACAGGGGTTAAGTGGGACGAGAACTTTGCAAAGAGGAGAAAGAACGATTAAAGTTGCAAATGGACTGCAAGCCAATGTTGAAGCCATTGGAGATTTTTCTTTAGAATTGAATAATGGTTTTGTACTTAGACTTAAAGAAGTACTTTATGTTCCCTCTTTGCGTAGAAATTTGATAAGTGTTTCGAAACTTGATGATGATGGAATTGATTGCCATTTTGGTGATGGCAAGTGTAAGATACTGGTTAATAATAAATGTGTTGGTCTTGCCTTCCGACAAGACAAGCTTTATTTATTATCTCTTGCTGAACAATGTATGTGGTGAGAATGTGAATGATTCCCCATCTGCGGATGTAACTAAGAAGCGAAAGAGAATTGATACTGTCTCTTCGAAATTATGGCATTGTCGCTTGGGCCATATTTCGAGGGGGAGAATGGAACGATTGGTTAAGGAATCAATTCTCCCGCACTTAGAATTTTCAGATTTAGAGCAATGTATTGATTGCATCAAAGGAAAGTATGTCAAGAAAATTAAGAAAGATGCCAAACGAAGCACAGGAATTTTAGAAATAATCCACACAGATATATGTGGTCCTTTTCCTGTGAAAAGTGTGGATGGTTATGACTCGTTTATAACATTCACAGACGACTACTCTCGTTATGGCAATATTTATCCAATTAAAGAAAGATCGGAAGCATTGGATAAATTCAAAATATTTAAAGCTGAAGTTGAAAATCAGCACAATAAGAAAATCAAGATAGTACGATCGGACCGAGGTGGAGAGTACTATGGGCTTATATACCCCATATGGCCAAATTCCAGGACCATTCGCAAGGTTCCTACAGAAAATGGCATAGTTGCTCGATACTCCAGTGGGGAGCCTCGTGAGAATGGAGTGGGTGAAAGACGTAACTGCAGTACCTTAATGGATATGGTAAGAAGCATGATGAGTTACTCCACATTACCGATTAGTTTATGGATGGAGGCACCTTTGAAAACCGCCATTCACATACTTAATCGAGTACCAAGTAAATCGGTGCCTAAAACACCGTATGAATTATGGATGAAGAGAACCCTCACTCAACCATTTGCGTGTGTGGTAATGTTTGTCGGTGAGGCAAAAGTGTTTAACCCAAACATAGGAAAGTTAGACTCTAAGACGGCCACCGCCATTTTATTGGCTATCCAGAAAGATCGAAGGATATCGCTTCTATTGTCCCGACTGGACATACGAAGATTGTAGAAACAAGACACGCTGTGTTCTTGGAGGATAACATGATCGGGGGAGCATGGTAGCACGAGAAATCAGCCCTCTGAGGAGAAGCGGTACATGTACCCACTCCGATGGTTGAAGAACCATTCTTCACGCTACCTGCTCGTCATTGTTGCAATCGACAAAGGCAGACATCGTAGTGCCAACACTTGTTGCAAGTTCTCCCATGGCGACAATGAATGAACATGAGGAACCTGTCTTGAGGAACCTATCCTTGAGGAACCTATAGAACCAAATGATGCACATGAGGAAGAACAACAACGCCAAATGTGGAACAAGCTGGGAGGCACCTAGAAGGTCTCAAAGAATAAGAAGATCAGCTATTATCATGATGACTATGAAGTTTATGAAACGAAGAAGAATGTCGGATGGGGATGATCCCACCTCATTTGAAGAAGCCATGAGAAGCGACCACTCATCAAAGTGGCTTAAGGCCATGGAAGATGAATTGAAATCAATGAGTACCAATAAAGTTTGGGACTTAGAAAATATTCCTAAAGGAGCCAAAACAGTAGGCTGTAAATGGGTCTACAAAACGAAATATGACTCCCAAGGGAATATAGAAAGATTAAAAGCGCGACTTGTGGCGTAAAGGCTTCACGCAAAGAGAAGGGATTGATTACAATGAGACGCGTTTTCTCCGGTCTCATGTAAAGATTCCTTCAGAATTATAATGGCACTTGTAGCCCACTATGATTTGGAGTTGCATCAAATGGATGTAAAGACGGCTTTCCTAAATGGGGATTTGGAAGAAAATGTTTATATGGCACAACCGAAAGGTTTTGTCGTAAAAGGAAAGGAAAATATGGGATGTCGCCTGAAGAAATCAATCTATTTGATTGAAGCAAGCTTCAAGACGGTGGTATTTGAAGTTTGATAGAACGATAAAAGGTTTTGGGTTTGAAGAAAATGTTGAGGACACTTGCGTTTATGCAAAGTTCAAGAATGGAAAGTACATATTCCTAATTTTATATGTGGATGATATCTTGCTTGCTAGTAGTGATATCAATCTACTAATGGAAACGAAGAAATTCTTGTCCTCAAACTTTGATATGAAAGATCTTGGTGAGGCCTCGTTCGTTTTGGGAATAGAGATTCACCGAGACAGGGAGAAAAAGGGTTCTAGGATTATCATAAAAGGCATACATAGAAAAGGTCTTGAAGAAATTTAGTATGCATAAATGCAGTCCTTCACCGCTCCTATAGTCAAGGCGATAGATTTGGGGAACATCAATGTCCCAAGAACCAATATGAAATTGACCGAATGAAAGCGGTACCAGTATGCTTCATTTGTTGGAAGTTTACAATATGCTCAAGTGTGTATGCATACGACTTAGCTTTTTTTGTTACCGGGTTACTTGGCGGATATCAAAAGAATCCTTGAATTGAACATTGGAAATTAGTGAAGAAAGTCCTGCGTTATTTATGTGAGTACGAAAGGCCTCATGCTTACGTATAGAAGATCGATTCCTCGCAGATAGAGGGGTATTTGATTACGATTATATGGGAGAAGAAAGAAAATCCACGTCGGGATATATATTTACTCTCGCAGGAGGGGCTATATCGTGGAAAAGCTCCAAACAAATCAGAATCGCATCCTCGACAATGTATGCCGAGTTTGTAGCATGCTATGAGGCAACGGCAGGGGTGAAATGGTGGCTGAAGAAATTCATACCCGGATTGAAAGTGATTGATGATATAAATGAACCATCGCGATTGTATTGTGATAACAATCCGGTGACAAAGACGACGCTCACAACAATAGGTCAAGTGGTGCTGCCAAACACATTGACATAAAGTACTATGTTGTGAAAGATAAAGTTCGGGATCATATAATAAATCTTGAGCACATAAGAACAGAGAAAATGCTCATGGATCCGCTCATTAAAGGGCTTACCACCCAACGTGTTCGAGAGAACACGAGGCAGCATGGGTTTAAGGAAAGCCTATGATTCCCGAACATCTGAAGGGCCCAAAGAAAGTTTACATTTCAAAACGGAGAATTGTATTGTGGTCTGTTAGTCTAACGGCACTAATTTCGTCGTGACGATGGGGACAGTTCTATGCACTAATCTGTGATGAAATAGGATGGAAGCAAGAAAATATGAATTGAAAGTTTTGAGTATGAAATTAAAGAACGAAGAATAGATGAGAGATCAAGGGGAGAATGTTAGTATTGATCTCCCACCGTTAGGGCCCAACGGCCTAATCGGGCCTTGTCCTCAGCGCTACGATCGGGGCGCCCAACCCTACATGGTTGGTGGGCCCCGTCGCAAATGCCATTAAAGGAAGGTGGGGGGCGGGCTCGTAATACGAGGTCTGCGCCGCCATCACCCCAACCGACATCCTAAACCCTAGACCCGATCGAAAGTAGAGGCGCCGCAATGACGGAAGTGCCATCGACACCGCAACGCCACCCGACGTTCACATCGCCGCCGAGGACGCCGCGCACGACTCACTCTCCACCGACCCCGTCACTGCCGCGCCGCCGCAGATGGCATCCAACAACGAAACCCCGGCCGGAGCTTCAACAACTACGGCATTTGACGGTTTGCTACTTATCACCTATCTCTCAATCTCTCTCTGTGAAATCCGATTGATCTATTACTGTGCTAAGAAAACCGATCCGATGAACATACCTAAGAACCCTAAACCTAACAGGACGCCCTGCGCGAGGCCTTCGACAGCCTCGCCGCCTGCTCGCCCTACCCGCTCCCCTTCACGTGGGAGGACCTCGACGCGCACGTCTCCTCCGTCCAATCCTCCATCTCGCGCCGGTTCCGCCAGCTCCGGGCGCTCGAGGCCGCGCGCCCAGGCAGCACTAGTAAGAATAAGGAAGGGGCTAACGAGGTGGAAGAAGAAGAGGTGGAGGAAGAAGAGGAGGAGGTGGTGGTGGAGGAAGAAGAAGAAGAGGTGGAGGAAGAAGAAGAAGAGGTGGAGGAAGAAGAGGAAGAGGAGGTGGTGGAGGAAGAAGAGGAGGTGGAGGTGGAGGAGGAAGAAGAGGAGGAGGAGGAGGAAGAGAACGACAAGCAGATGAAGGAGGCCGACGACAACATTGGCAATCAAGCCAAGGAAGATAAAGAGGGCGGTGAGGATAACAAGCGCAAGCGGGATGCCGACGAAGAGGCGGTCAGAAGAACACTGTGAAGCTTTGCGAGGGTCTTGGGCTTGCAGACAGGGCCACAGGTATGGAGCTATCTCCGTTCATAGTTATATATATTTTTTATTTCTGCAATTCTGCTCAATCTATGTGTTGGATCGTGCCTATGGTGTTCTGGTGATTGTCAATAATGTTTCATAAACTAGGTTGATATAAAGTGCTGTTACAATTTTCTTATGTCATTTATAGCACCATAAAAGCTTGATTATAGAAGACCACATTCCTGCAAAGGCATGAGAAACACCTCTTGCAGGCAGGTTATTCGTCCATAGTGGATATAATGCAGTGTGACTAGTTTTGGAAAGGCTTACTATCTGATCATGTCATCCAGAGTTTTCTTATGGGTCAAGCATGTTAGTTTTTTTATCTTCTACTGCGTAGCCACACGGTAGAATATTGTAGATGTACACCTAAAAACTATATAGCCGAATAAAACAAATCATAATTGTAGGAAACAGGGAACTATTCTGATCCATCTTTTGGTTTTGTACTAATCAATGGTATGCAAAATTTTCCCTATTTGACTTTCTTGAAAGTTTGGTAGCATATAGTGTAAGTAGCAAAGGTGCAAAAGATGCAGACAAGGGACCATTTGACACAACTCATACATGTTTGTTGCACCTGGTGCTATGTATCCTTCTTTGCCTAATCGATTAACATGTATTCCTGAGTAATACCTGCTTGATCATGCAAGTGTTTGATCTCTGGCTGCAACGCTCCAATGCTATGTAACTATTCATAACTAAGATTTAACAGTTATTAAACTATTTACTACTGTAAAAGTTTCTAGTCTCCACACATTCTTTGTTTCTACTTTCTAGACACAGCACCTTTGGCTCACCATTGACAGCGGCATCTCAGACACCACCAGGTGGTGGGCCTCAACCATTCTGATCCTTTGGCCCAGACTTTCACATCAAACGCCAAAGAAATTAGTTTTTTAATTCCTAAGTTTTCATTAAAATAAGAGTGCTTATTATTGGACATGTACGTGGATGTGCAAGGCTCCTAGGGGAGGTTTTTGTTTATTCCCAATTGATATTTTGTCTTTCACTATGTTCAATAGTCAATGTAAGTATCAAAGATCAGTGTATAATGTATACAATATGCATCAAATGATGGTATTGAAGAGCTGTTCGGCTGATGGTTTCTGCGGCTGATAAGCCAGCTGAAGCTGATTTGTTGTGAGAGAAAAACACTGTTCCATGGCTGATAAGTTCAAGCAAACAGGGCATTGTCAGTTGTCACTAATGTGGGACATCAACCAAAAGTTGCTCAAGAAAGCACCACCAATTATGTTCACCGTGTTGTTCTTTGGTGTTGTGCCTTCATGAGACTGTTCCGTGAAGGTGTGCTTACATGCTTTCCTTTGCTGCTAGCCTGTCATTTGTCAATACAATCTGTGAAAGAGTCTGAATCCTGTGACCAAAATGGCAATTCTGTTCATTATTGCTACTCGGGAAAAAAAAAACTGTTCATTATTGCATCTCACGTGATAACTGATATCAACCGAAGTGGTAGGTTTATATGGATATACCTTTAAATTTCGATAGAAACCCTAGTTTGCTTAGTATATCAAGTATGACATCAGTTGATTGTCTGGTCTGTAGCTGTAATGCATTTTTGTATGTTTATTGCTGAGCCATTATTTGAACTTTTTTCACTGTTTTCATACGCAGCTAGACTTCATACATTGGCCTCTATCTTCTTTACATTTTCAGTTTGATTTTGACAGAAATGTAGGCACTCATCTCCATGTCTGTACCTCATTCGCAATGCAAGGGTTCACCTTCTTATTAATGTTTCCTTTTGCCTTCATCTTTTCTGCAGATTTAATTGACTATATGATTGGAAATGGGCAGCATCTCAAAGTTTTTCATTTGGTACAAATTTTAAATTTGGAGGACAAGTATCCTCCATTTTCTCTTCTGAAGGGATACATTGAGAAGGCCAAGCAGACAACTTCTGTGGAGATATTTAGAAAGAATGAAACACACAAGTCCTTGGTATGAGCTAGCCCTTGTGACACTAAAATCAAGTATTTCACTGACAGGAATTATATGGCGCCCAGGGTAGCACAAACCCTGGACATCCAGGCCATTATGCTGTAACGTCAAAATTTGTTCTGATGGAGAGAAATTTGAGGCCGCTATTCATCTATTGACAAATTTTTTAGGGTGGGAATGCATACCTCCTCCGGGATGCTGATTTCATTCTTTTCCATGTCTGGTGATCTCCAATAACTCTGGCAGTTTATAGTTTCAGGTTGGGGTACGAGGTTTTGGTTTTGGGGATCTTGGTGGCCTCCATCTGTAGAGGTATGGCTGAGGGTTGCAGGTAGTTCGCCGGCCCGGTAGTGGGCGGAAACGCTAGACGGTGGTGGACAGTGGTTGGGCAGGCATGGAGTGGAGGGGGGGGGTGGGGCAGGATCCATGGTGAGGGAGGGAGGCGCTGTGCATGCGGCACATTGGGCGGGCGGGGGGTCAGGACGTACGGAAGAGGCGTGGGTGGGGATCAAGACGATGACGACTCTGTTTCCCTCCTACGATGAAGACCAGGATGTCCAGTCCAGGATGCTCATCCTGGTGGACATAGAAACCGGGTTCTTTCAGTGATCACCTTAATCATAACTTATAGCATTGTGGTTTTACTACAGATTGTGAAACAAGTTCTGTTGTAGATATAAATGTATATTGATCCGATAAAGCTGCTTTCTTATCAACTATATTTCTTTCTGTCTTTTGTTTCCTTTTCACATTTACAGTGAAGTAAGTAAGAAAGCACATACACATTCTGCATTAGCACACTTGCCTGGCACATGAGTGTGCCACCTATCTGATTCACACCCCTAGAAAGCCATATACCACTGGTAAATGGGGAACGTACTCACACATATTGACATAGATATGGTGTCTAGATTTCAATCCAGGGTGGAGTCACAAAACTCCACCCCACCAAGAGGTGGGTACTCAAATTTGTTGTTTGTTAGCTGAAAGGTTTTTGGATCTTGCCTATGTGCAGAACTTGGCTATACCAAAGGAACTATGGATTGCACATCATCTAGCTGAGCAGAAACTTGCTGATTCTAGGCAACGCAGTGCTATCATAGCAGAAATTAATTATTTGATGAGTGAATATAAAAAGGAACAAAGGTCAGCAAACCCCTCAATGCCCTCGACATGGGATTCACAGCAGCCAACGAAACATAAAAAGAGGAAGAGGAAGCGCAAGAAAGAGGAGCAGGAGCACCATGACGAAGCACAAGACAACCAGCAGCAGCAGGAACAGAATGAAAACAAGTTAATTCAAGGAAAGCAACATCAGCTGCATCAACAAGAAAATAAGGCGCAAGTGACAGAGCAGCAGCAGCAGCATATGAAACTGCCAAGGCCAGCTACCCTTAAGCTACCGACACCTGCTGTTCCTCTGGTTCTGAATGTAGCTCAGATCTAATACTTTGGGCATCCACCTTACGCCGCTATGCCTGGAGTTCAGAATTACCCTGCCCAGCCAGGTTGGCCTATAGCTCAAGGAAGACCATTCGTACCGCAATTCAGATCACCTCAGTATATGGGTCCTCCATTTAATCCCTTTGCCCTTCATCCTCCGTCCTATCCCAGATAGTGTAGAAGCCCTGACGTTGTGATACTACGGTGAAGCGTAGAAGTTATATGAAATAGCCCGGTATTGGTTCGGTCTGTAAGTGGCTTTGTGTTCATTCGTTATACGTGTCAACAGTTCTTTTCGCAATATGGTGTTCATTTGCTAATTCCTGGCCTGACATATGGAGGTAGCCTTGGGCGTTTATTTTGTTGCTGCAGTTTCTGCCTGCGCTGTTTCCTCTTGCGATTCTTGTTGTCTTCTCCTTTTCTGGTTTTGCCACATTTCTTCCGGCTCCTGCGGCTCTTGTTGATTTTGAATGTGCTGATGCTGCGTCTTATGTGGCTTCTGCTGCTGGTGCTGTTTCTCTTTTGGTTTTTGCTGCTGCTGCTGGTGGTGGTGGTTTTCCACCTGTTGCGTTTGTGGCCGCCGCTGATACTCCACTTGAAAATTGTGCTGCTGATGCGAACTTGCAATGGAGGCTGAAACAGCTGCAAGACCTGTGTATATATGCTAAACACTGTATAGTACAAATGTACAAGCACAAGTTCCGGTTGGGAATTGGTCGTTTTCGTGCCGCTGACACATCTCCGGCTTAAAATATCATTCGGTTCTCAATGAAAAGGGAACACATCCCTGATCCCTGGCTCCGACCTATGTGATTAACAATTTGCATGCACTGAACGCACCAGAGTATGCCTGTTATAACTGTAATTTATCCACGTTGTTCACTTCCATTCCATCTGGTTGTCCTATGCCACTTTCTTCACTTCTGAAGTTTAACAAAAACCTCATTCAGATTTCAGATGTCAGACCCAGAGCTACCGTTCAACATATGCTACTACTATATTGGTTTAAATGATACCAGAATCAAATTTCTGAAGTAGGGCTTTGTTTAGTTCGGCCGGAATCGGCATTTGCACAGTGTTTGACATTAAACATTGTAGCAATTTCGTTTGTATTGGTGAATTATTGTCCAAACATTGATTAATTATGCTCAAAAGATTCGTTTTGCAAAGTTCAATCAAACTGTGCAATTAGTTTTTTATTTCATCTACATTTAGTACTCCATACATGTACCGCAAATTTAATGTGACGGGAAATCTTCTTTTTGTATAGTGCCAAAGTTAAGAGTTTGGGGGAACTAAACAAGCCCTAGATAAATTTCGGTATGTTCATGTCTGGTAACCTTTCAAGATAACGCATCATGAATGTATGATAAATAAATGCAACCGATAGCGCATCCTGATCGATGAATGCAACTTAAGAGCAGGTAAAAGTAGGTACTGTGACAGGTAAAACGCAAACCTTCTCTACAACGTTCTAAAAGCATCTCCAACAGATTTGCCGAAAGGAATATCTAAATTTAGTGATTTTGGTATTTTGTAAAATGAACCCCTCCTTCAAAAAATAGACTACTCCAACAGACTATCTAAATTGACTCTCTATATTTAAACTTGCCATGTCACCCATCCCGACCCTGTCCGCTCTCTTTTCGGATCACTGCAGACGCCGCCTCAAACTCAAGTTCCGCAGCAGGGGCCGTCCGCCTGGAACTCCATCCCGATCCCGTCCGTTGGTTGCCGGCTGCCCGGGCATCATCAACGCTCACGTCCACCAGGTCACAAGGGGCAGAGTCGCCCAACCATCAGGGCACGCAGGGGCCGGCCATTGCCGGACGCACGTCTTGAAGGGCATCACGGCAGCCTGCTGGTGGCTGCCCCAACCGTGTAGGAGGTTTGCTTAATTTGGCCATAATTTTGTAAATTGACATAGATAATTATCTCGGTTGATTAGAGAATTTGTGTCGGCGATGGATTCTGAAGATGAATTCTATGATACAGTGTTCAATGAAGTGCTTGAGTCATCATCTTCGTACGATGAGGATGATTTATATGTTGCTGTTGCACACATAGTAGCAGAGGCCAATGACAAGCAACCATATCGTCGAGTTTCTATTGACGGACATCGCGTATTGAATCGTGATAGGCAGTCCGGGCACTCCAAACTTTTTCAAGACTAATTCTCAGATGATCCTACGTATGGGGCGAACTATTTTAGACGGAGGTTTGTACTTTCCCCTCATAGTATGAAATTTCTTTTGTACATACGTGCAGGTGTGGCTAATTAATTAGTCTTGTGCCATAGATTTCGAATGAGGCGTCATGTGTTTGTTCATATAATGAATGCTGTTGAGGAGCATGATGACTACTTTATGCAAAAGAGGAATGCAGCCAGTACCCTAGGACTATCTTGTTTGCAAAAGGTGGTGGCAGCATTTCAGATGATAGCTTATGGTGTAGCGGCTGATGCTATGGATGACTATGTTTGTATTGGCGAGAGTACTGCTCTAGAAAGTTTGAGAAGGTTCGTCATAGTTGTTGTTCAAGTATTTGGACCTGAGTACATGAGATTGCCTAATGAACAGGATACGGCTAGATTACTCGCAATTGGTGAGAGCAGAGGTTTCCTGGGAATGTTTGGTTCCATAGATTACATGCATTGGACTTGGAAAAATTGCCATGTTTCATGGCATGGTATGTACCGAGGGCATAAAAAGAAGCCTACAATTATACTAGAAACAGTTGCCTCTAAAGATCTTTGGATTTGGCATGCATTCTTTGGGATGCCAGGCTCGCACAATGATATCAATGTTCTTCAAATATCTCCTATATTTGTAAGGCTTGCTGAAGGTGACGGTCCACAGGTTAATTACAGCATCAATGGGAATGATTATACAATGGGTTATTACCTCGTAGACAGCATATATCCATCTTGGGCCACGTTCGTGAAGACCATACCAGAGCCACAAGGGAACAAGAAGAAATATTTTGCCAAGGCACAAGAAGTTTGTAGGAAGGACGTTGAACGAGTATTTGGGGTTCTATAAGCTCGCTTTGCTATCGTTAGAGGGCCAGCTCATGAGTGGGATGAGGAAACGCTAGCAGCAATCATGAAAGCTTGTATCAATATGCACAACATGATTGTCGAAGATGAGGGTATTGACGAAGATGATTTCAGCTATGATGAAATGGGAGAAAAGGTAAAAATATCTCATAATGGTACACCTGAAACTAGATGTATTCATCCAAAATTACAAGAACATTCAGGACAAGGAAACTCACACACAGCTTCAAGACGACCTTGTTGAGCACCTGTGGCAAAATCATGCAGATTTATATAAGAATATTATTGTTGAATGATTTTATTTGCTGTTAGGATATAATTTGTTGAATGATTACATTTTCCGTTATAACGATTTGTATTTCCATCCAGTTATTGAACAAACTGGTCATGATTTGTGTTTTCATTCAGTTATTGAACAAACTGTGCACAAGACCATGTCTCATTCACAAGGAACAAATGCAGTACATCAGTCACACTTGTGGCAATTGAGAACTAGGACTGCAAATATATTAATAGGGACTGCAAATATAGTTCACTCACAGGAACTGCTAATGTCGCAATCTGAGAACAAATACTTAAAATATATTACAAGGGTAGCGACAAATAGAAACAATGACACATCTAATTATTTAGGCATCTTAGCACGAATTGCATTCTTGAGCACTTCATAGTACTGATGCTGGTCAGTGGACAAGTGACTTGTGTTGACATTCATAATTCTATCTCCTTCCAGGTTCTTGGTGAGCTCAAATCGGTCCCTTTGTAACTCAAGTTTTTCTTTCTCCAGTCTGATCCTTTGTTCCTGCAATGCGAAGGCTTTCTTGTACCGCTCCTCTTTCTTCAACTCCTTCTCTGCATCAGCTTCTTCTTTTTTGCCAAAAGATAATCCAACGCTTCGATGCTAGAATGTTGCCGTAATTTCTGCTTCTCCTTCTTTTGCCCTGGAGGTCTCTGAAGTGCACTATTAGAATGCTGATTCTCATCAACAGTAGCAGTGGGCAGCAAAGGAGCCGATGTACGACTTGAATTGGCTGAAACCTTCTGCTTTTTACTGATTGGCTTCTGGGTTTCCATCTGCTTTTGCCTATCTGCCCACTTAGCTTGGCCTTTTAATAATTTCCAGCAATGCATGTATGGAAATTGCCTATGCTGCCTGTCTTCTTTAATAAACATTTTCAATGCATCTGCTTGCTACATAGTGGACAAAGATGAATGTGTGAGATGCATCGAAATCATATACAATTGGAAAGGGAAAGGTGTGTCGTCAAACCTTGTCATCAATGGTCACTCCACTTTGATTTCTGCCCTCAATCTTGGAAAGACAACTCGCAAAGAGGTTCACATCGTGCTGTATACCAGACCAACGGTTCATCAGAGAGCCTTGCGAGCGATCAGACGAGAAATCCTTGTGGGCATGGAAATGTGCATGTATTCGTTTCCAATATGTGGTACGTGATTGGTCCACACCTTTCACTGGATCCAAACTCACGTTTAGCCACGATTTGACAAATTGTTCATCCTCATCAATTGTGAAATTTTTTGTTCTTTTCGGAATTCCTTTCCCTATTGCTTCAACCTCATCTTGTGCTACTACTTCCTGAGCAGGTTGATTTTCAAACTGACCAGGAATACCAAAGCCATTTGTCATCAGGCCAGTGAAATATCCCCCTGAATCCATGGCACCTGTGATAGCAAATAACAAAGATTAATCATTTGGTTTTTAAAATTCTATGGTTGGCGATGTACTATGCATTCACTATCAACTAACTGCCACAAGTATAGAGCTTTCTACTGCCGCAGAGTACTGCCAAGACTCCTATAACATTTCAGAACACAATGAATCAGATAACACAAATGTCAGATATAGGCTCGCACTGCTGCTCAGTGAGTTACTGAACTGACCTGAACTTTCCATGCTATAGGTCAATGCATAGAACCATAGAAGATTTATTTCCAAAGATTAATCAGGAGGATGGAATAGTTGCAAAGCAACAGGAATATTAATTTTTTTTAAAAAAAAATCTGCCATTGCCATTGCTATCAGGAGGATGGACTAGCCGCAAAGCAGGAAGAATCTTACTTAAAAAAATCTGTCATTGCCCATTGCTATCAGGAGGATGGAATAGCTGCAAAGCAGCAAGAATTTTACTTAAAAAAATCTCTCAGTTTGCTTCATATAAGTACACTGCAGTTTGCACAATCAATAATCTCAGTTTGCTACAATAATCACAGTTTGCACAAACAATAGATGAGCAAAATATAGAAACCAATCATGACATTCCAAGGAGCAAAATTCATCCACTGCTAGGAACATTACTGACAAACGAAATAAAATGACCAACGCCTCACCAGGTAATTCCTCGACAACGCCCTGTGCTGCATCTGGGAAGGAGAACTGTGGCTGTTGGCTCACGCTTGGGGAGGGGGCCTGCAATGGCTGGCCATTGAAGTCAGTGGGAGGAATCACTCGACGCTGCATCAATCCAACCTCTCTGTTCTCCAACCATCCTAGATCCACATGGCCCTCGCAACCAACAGAGTCCTAGCTTCCTTGAGCCATGGAACCGCCGGCGAACTGGGCCACCGGAGAAGATGCCCGGGCGGCCAGGTTGCCGTACCCGCGCACAGGTGCCGGACCACGTGGTCGCGGCGGCAGGGATATGGCGGAGGAAGCTGAAGGTGCGTGCTTGGTTGGGGAACGGGCGCAAGGGCCGTGGCAGAGGAAACTGAAGACGCGTGCGGCGTGGTCGAGTTCGCGCGGGAAGAAGTGGTAGCGCGCGGGAAGGAGGCGCCTCACGCGCGGGAAGGTTTTGCTAGCGCGCGCGGATGCCGAATGGCGAGCGGTGCAGCCTATCCATGTTTGGATAGCGGAAGTTCAGGGATATCCAGCTATCCAATTTGGAGAGCCAGGCAGAGAGTCTGTTGGAGAACATTTTTTTTTTCTGATAATAGCTATATTTACGTTTACAAAACGATTTACTTGGAGATGCTCTAAGCTTTCTATAAAAAGCCGGGTTTACCTCTGTCAAAAACAACCGCACACCTTCTCATAGTATCATCTTTCATTAAACAAGCAAACTAAGCACAAAACTTTGCAACCCCCACTGGGCCATTTCTGGCACTCGACATGATAATCATCTGCCGTGCCATCAACTCATACACAAGGGGCCAAATGTTTCACGCATCATCGACACCGGTCATCGGTTCATTATCCTTGGCTCCATCCCCATCTTCATCATCTGTGTGTGGAGCGTTGCTCTCACCGTCCTCATTGGCGGCCGCCGCGTCCTCCATCTGATAATCCACCTTGAAATCATAGTCCGCATCCATGTCGTTCAGCACGCTGAACTTGTTCGCCTTGCGTCGTTTCTTCTCTGCTTTTCTCTTGCGAGGGCCGAGTATGCCCTCGGCAGTGTACAACTTGTTGTTCTGTGTGCTAACACTGGCTGCCTTGCTTCCATCGCGATCATTCACATTGGAGATTTCTTCCTCCCGGATTTCACGACTTCACATAAGTCCCAAAAAGTCCCAAAAGGCCTTAGGGGCTTCTGTCGGGTTCATAAACCCAGGTTCCCCAATGAACCTGCTTCCTAGTAAAAACTCGGCCCAGAAGACGGCATTACAACGACGCGACTCCTGGGCCGGCCCAGATATCTAACGACAGGCTGGAAGAGCGATCCAGTCTCCTACCGAAAGGCCTGATCAAGGAGAGGACGACGCTCGCTTCCGACTCCGACCCGCTTTTCCGACCGGGAATATACCGAACCTCTGCTTACGGCTCTTCTCCGAACCGCGCGGTCGGAGCCGACTGGGAATGACCGACCGGAGACGCCCGTTCGGTAAGGACCCAAGAATCAGGCGGAGCAGATAAGGCAATGCGTTCAAGTCAATCGTAATACCGAGGACCATACCTTGCATACCTGCAGGACAGTACCACCATGCCATGCCAGATGGTACTTTGTAACCTTTCAGACATGTCAGAACACGAATAGTGTTGTGGGCATCGATATTTATCCTACAGTATGGTAGGCGCCAACATTTGTCATACCAGAAGAACACGATGGAGCCTGCCACATGCAACTAGGCGTCAACAGTATTGTGAGCGCCGATAAACTGTCTTGTAACCGACGGCATGGGCAACAAGACTAGGAAACACACACTCTCTCTCTCTCTCCTAGCCTATAAGGCCGTCCCCTTCACTTATAAAAGGGGATGCGCTCTCTCCTAAAAGGGGACATTCATTTCAACTCTCTCTCGACTAAGCTTTAGACATTCTAAGCATTCGAACAGCTCCACAACTCTAGAATTCTAAAGCTACACAGAGCATACGTTCTAATACTTAGCGCACATTAGAGCTCCCGTCACTCTTGGCCCTTCGGTTCAGAGTCCGACCTGACCTTCAACACCCCCTTCTCATTCCCACTCGTTTGTAACCCCACAGCAAACTTCGAGCGCTTGGGCTCAAGAATAAAGTCACCGACTGACTGAAACTGGACGTAGGGCACGTTGTCTAAACCAGTATAAACCCTGTGCCATTGAGTGCTAGGCCACATCCGATCACAACGTACGACAAAACTACAAATGTTTACTTGTTGGTCACTTTTCGCACCGACAGTTGGCGCCGTCCGTGGGGAGGATGCCGTACGTTCATGCTTTTGGTCATCGGATGGCCCACCTTTCCGCCATCTTCGTCATGATGGGCTCAAGCGATACGATTCGCTTCGACTCGCTGGAGTTTCCCACGCTCCCACCTGTTGGGATGGGGGTTCCTCCCGTCTTCGAGCCGTCCCAGACCTTCCTCTTCGTAAGCCTGGACTTCGTCGCCGACTAGCTCGGCATGCTTCGCCTTTGCGAGGAGGCACTTGTCCCGGTGCCCGTCGGAGGAGTGCCCTTTGTCAGCTCTGGGCCACCCGGTGACCTCAACGATGAGACACCTATGCTACGCTCTGAGCCCACGCTGGGCTCAAACCCCACCGTGAGTAACATACACATTGTTCTTTACTCGTTATTTAATATCTTGCGCTGACTCTCCGGAGGGACCCCGTTGTCCCCACCGCAACCGTCATGCGATCGGTTCCCCTACGGCCTCGCGTCCCCCGTGGACTCGTACACGCGGGGGCTCTAAAAGATGCTGACGCCGCCCCCTCTCACATCCGAATTCGTGGAGATGGCGGGCAACACTCCTGCCTCTTTCCACGACCTCGTGGATGACGAGGTTGGAAGCGACGGTTCCGGCATTGGCGACGTCGTGGCACCTAGCCACCCTCTATCACATGAGTGCGCTATGGTGAACGCTTTGGGACAGCCGCCGGTGGTAGCGGAGTCCCTACAGACTCACACCCCTCTGGACCCTTATGCGGAGGCTCTCGTGCGCGCGTAGGAGTACGGCGAGGAGTTACGACAAAGGCGGCAGAGCCAGCCGCCACGCGCGTGTAACCCGGCAAGCGGCGCTCGAGGTCGCGCCCGCCAGGTCCAGCACAACACCATGGATGGAGGAAACGATCCCCCACAGTTCACTCGGGCTGGCCAGAACATCGCCGCTGCGACGATGCTTCTGCGTGGCCTTCCCGAGCCTGACGACCCCCAGGAGCATGCGATCCACCAGAACCTCCGGGCGCTAGTGGAAACCGCCGCCGTCCAACAGGTGGAGAGCTCCGTGTCGCGACACTGACTCGTGGCCTCTCTCCCCACCGGGGAAAGGGGCCGCACTAGTCGAATCGCTCCATCCACTCACCACTATAGTCGTTGGGCGTGGAACAGGAGGCCACAGCTGCACCACGGCTTGACCCCTCCAGCTCTGACCAGGAGGGCGAACCATGCGTTCCTCCGCCGGGCGAGGTAGGGAGCCCGGTCTCCCTCCTCTCTTTCGCCGTAGCTGTTGGGGGAGGGATCATAAGGGTCACCTCTGACCCAACCTCCGCTATCGCCACGGGGATCGCTGCCATCACCGCCGCTACCGCCGTACTCGCGATCGGTCGGGAGGACGCAACACCCAGAAGAGAAGGGTGCACCGCCGCCAATCGGCTTTTCCCGCCGCTCGTCGTGACTCGCTGCAGGCTGGGTCTCCACTCCTCCCGCACGAGAGGCGGGGCGATGCCCAATCCCGCCAGTCCCTGGCCGCTGTCAAATGAGTACATGTCAGTCGCGCTAAAAAAACTCAACTATGAGATCAAAAAGGAACATAGATGCACACCTGGACGAAAGCGGCAGGGACCTGAAGCCCTGACCCGCTGGTGACGAGCCTGCCGGATGAGGACTGCTTACGGGTCACGACCCACGCCCCCTCGCATCAACCAAGGGAGTAGCCGACTCGGCCGGTTCCCGATTGGCTCATGAATCGCTGCGACCGCCGGCTCGTGGCGCACCCACTAGAGCAACTGACGGGGCATCTCCTCATTGTGGGTCACGCGCACGCGCCGACCCCAAAGATGCGGGGGTACGAGCACACTCCTCTGATCGTCCAGCATGCCCCGCCATGCTCAGAGTAGGAGGGTGCGAAGCCAATGATGCCTCCAAATGGCTCGATGGCGGCTTCCAAGCACATGGCGTGCTTCCTTGATGCGGGAACATCTCCGCGCCTCTCCGTATCCCATCCACCGCCGACGGACGCGACCGTCGGCTCACGACGCTCCACCGAGGTCGCGACGATGCCCCTGTCTCCTTCATCCTCAAAGGTGCTCACATCGCCACCCATCTCGATGGGCTCCTCCGACTCGAGCTCCACCTCCACGTCGCTCCTACTTTTGCCCGCTCGGACCCATCGGACAATTTCTTTCTCCTTATCGAACCACCTCTGGGCCTTCTCAGCTCTCTTCTTCTTTTTGGCAAGCGCTGCCTCCTTCAAGGCAGCTTACTGAGCTGCGCCCTCTAGCACCCTCAAAAGATGCGGTCAGAATTTGTAACCCACGAGTCCCTACGAAATGGACAAACTTGAAATCAAAATAAAGGAGAGCAAGAGGGAAAATGTCATGAAATAAGGAGAAGGGAGCATACTAGATTAGATAGCTTCGCGGCATGAAGAGGTCTGGACTTTCCTTCAAGGGACTCTTTATCCCTCAGTTGTAGCACTCGGTCGAGTCAACTCCAGACTTCGTCCTTCGGCAACTCCTTCGGTGACGCACGGTCGGGATCCGTTAGGCCAGAGTATGTCCACATCGACCGCCTCCTCTCGGCCAGCGGGGCGACTCGATCATGGAAGAAGGTGTGGAACACCCGCAGCCCATCGAGGCCATGCTGCACCAGCTTCTGAAGCTCCGCCTCGATGACTTCTAGCTTGTTCTGTCGAATGGAGGGACCCCACGACCAGCTCTCCTACCTCTCCGGCCTTCTTCCAGTGAACGGTGGGAATGGCGCCTCCGCTGGGTTCCTGATGTAGAACCACTTGCCATGCCACCCCCAATTAGAGTCATAGGGGGAGTACGTGGGGTAGGAGCCCAACAGCCTCGTCTTCTTCTGTAGGCGAAGCCCCCAACCGGCGCGGTTCTAGGTGGCTTCCCCTCCGATAAGGCTCGTCCGGTGAAGATCCGCTAGAAGAGGTCAACGTGCGGCTCCATCCCAAGGAAGGCCTCGTAGAAGGTGACAAAACTAGCAATGTGCAGCACCCCAGTCGGATTGAGGTGCTGCAGCTCTAGGCCCCACTCGTTGAGGAGCCCGCGCAAGAACCAGTGTGCAGGATATCCAAGCCCGTGCTTGTGGAAGGCGAAGAAGGAGACAACCTCATCGGCCTATGGTCGCGGAACAGCTTCCCCTAGCGTAGGAGCCCTCCAATGCGCCACCTCATTCGGCGGGAGCAACCCCTTCTCGGTGAAGGCGGCCAGCATTGCCTCGTCTATGTTGGATGGCCTCCAGTTCAACATCACGCTCTAGATTCATGAACAAATCTGTGAGTTCTCCTCTCCCTCGCTCTACCCTCTCTCTCCTAGAAACCGCCGCAGCGCACGAACGGGCTTGGCGAGAAGGAAGAAGGAGGAGAGGCGGCAGATAGAGAAAGGCGAAGGAATGGGAAGAAAACCATCTCCCTTCCCCTATTTAATGTGGATAGGCATGCGGTGGGACACGTCCTGACTGATGGGACACACCCTACCCAATGAAATGTCACCCGGTTAAAAGGGAACATGGCCTAGGTAGGGCCCACCACTACCACAACCTAGGCGCAAGAAACAAGGCGCAACTGCATGCAAACGACCCTCCGCCTTCCCGGGTAGGGTTTGGAAGGGCCCACCAATAGGATCTCCATTGAGGAAAGACCAACGGGCTACCTGAGTCGATCGGACGGCTTAGGTGACTACCGAGAGACTGGTAAGGAGCAGTGGGATGCCCCATGCGGGCTA